GGATCTGTGGCTTACTAGGGATGTGATTAAATGGTTAATGTCAACCTACTTATCACCAATTGATTTTAAGTAAGATATGACAACCAGATAGCCAAAGAACTCTATGGTTAAGCATGCATGACTTACAACCTTAAGAAGACCCCCTCCCCCCCCCCCCCCCCCCCCCTTCCCGAGATTCAATCGTTATGCTGTGGAACCGTGTCCACCTTGCAAGGTGGACACGGTTCTATGTTCATAATTACTGGGCTATATGTTCATAATTATAAATCTATATATTCATAATTTTTGAACTTCATATTCATAATTATTAAATTCTATATTCACAATTATAGAACTCTATGTTCATAATTACTGAACCATATGTTCATAATTATAAAGCTATATATTCATAATTTTTGAACTTCATATTCACAATTATTGAATCTCTATATTCGTAATTACAGAACTATATGTTCATAATTATGTTCACAATTCTGTGTTCATAATTATAGAACAATATGTTCATAATTTTTGAACTATATATTCATAATTATGAACAGTTTTGGAACCGTGTCCACCTTGCAAGGTGGACATGGACACGGTTCCACAGCATAATTTGTCCCTGTGATTCGATCCATTCATCATTCTATTAAAGTAAATAATTTGATTAAATGTATTCCCCGATTCATCAAAAGTATTACATTTGCATATTTTGATTAAAAATATTATATTTTCTTGATTCATCAAAAATATTACATTTTACTTTATGAAATTTGTAAAGCGCAGCACACAGTGATGTCAAAACTGAAGTTGTAACACAAAAAATTTGTAACGCAGTTCGGACAAATAATCCTAATCTGCGAGGCGCTTCTCAATTTGAGAATTTACCTAAATCCACTAAAAGCTCAATATTTAAAATACATTGTTTGGAACCTAAGATTACACAATAGAATGATCTTTCCTACCAAACTATTGAAACCTAAACACATGTACTACTTTCTAGGGGAATTTAGTATCCTATTCTCAAAGACTCTCATACCTCACAAGATTAATGTTGAATGTTTGAATTCTACAATAAAGGACAACCCCTATTTATAGTAGATACTCCTAACAGATTCGTGAATAACAAAGCTATTCCTAATCAGACTAGAACTAGAAAAACTTCAATAACAATTCCCTTTAGAACTAGTATTCTTCAATAACTACTCCTCTTAGGCTTGGTATTCTTTTATAGAGCTGGAATTCATTTTGCACATAACTTTGACAAAACACTTTGAGTCAACAATCCCCCCCTTTGTCAAATTTTTTGGCAAAAACCTTGATTTCATAGTGGCTTGATTTATGATTCTTCTCCCCCTTAATTGATTCCACGTATCTCTCTTATCTAATTAGTGCTATCTTGAATCTTTATTTGTGACTTCATCATTCTTTTCTTGTTTTCTTGACAGCTACAAAAAGATTTTTTTTTCGATCACTCTCTGATCAGCCCTAAGGCGGTCCAAAGGCGGACGCTCTCTCGCAAAAACGCCCCACCAGAGCAATCCTCTCCTTCGATTTCACTAGATCCTCCCATTCCGCGCTTTGAGATTGTCACAATCGGAGAGTTTTCCTTCAATCTCGCAGTTTCACCAGTCGCGATAGCAGATATAGACTAGTCACCTCCTTCGCTAATTTGACCAATCTCCGGGAACAAGTCTCCAATTAGCCTTCGATTTGATTTCTGATGATCTATCTGATCGTGCATGGTCAAAGGAAAGGAGCACCTCCTGCCTAGCTTCCTCTACCAGTGCTACCTCATTCAATACAGTTTCAGCTATCTCATTCATCAGGCCCATCGCAACTTCTTCAACATCAGCCTCATAGCTTAGCATTGCATTCAGATCAAACAGACGAGTAGAGCCCAGTTTGACATTCTGTCGAACAGGTTGTGTGCAAACACCTCTACTGGTCTTACTACCCCTTTTCCAATCCATCCGGTCTCCTATCACGCTCAAAAACCCTGAATATTATGTTATTGTAGGTTTGTGCTATCTTAATGTTTTGACCATAGTGCTTAACAAGTAGTGCTTTGTCAACACTTATCCATTTTTTTCTAATAGCATTAGTATCTTTTGGGTTTAGATACTAATTCCCAGACTTTGTTTCTTTCAGACTGTTGTAGTTCCTTTTGCATGGTTTCTATCCAGAATTCATCTCTTAGTACTTCATCAATATTCTTTGTTTCAAACCTTGAGGTGAAACAATAATCTTCTTCGTCCATTTTGAGGTAATCTTGTTTCTTTCCCCTAGTTTTGATTCCTTGATTGAGATCCCTTATGATTTTTTCTAGAGGATAATTTTTCTGAATTTTCAAGTTCCCGATTGAATGTACTTTTTCCTGTTCCCTTTTGATTTTTGTCTCCTTTGCCTCTTCAGATTTTGTCTCTGTTTTGTGTTCCTGTGTGACAGTGGCCGGAGGTGTTGGAACAGTTGTTTCAACAGCTTCTGGGTTTTCTTCATCATCAGTGTTTACTGTTGAAATTGTGTCATCAATGACCACATTCATGGATTCCATTACACTATTTTTCTGGGGTTAAATACTCTGAAAGCCCTACTGTTTGATAAATAACTTGGTGATATTCCTTGGTCCCCTTTGATATCATGAGAATTTATGTGTCTCATACGTTGGTGCCATAATTGTGTTTGCTTGATAGTTGTCTGTAAACATGATAGGTCACCATCCCATGTATAGCATTTGTTTGCTGACCTTTTTCCCATCATGACACACTTGTGATTCTGATTAAACACAGTGCAATTGTCTTTAGAGAATCTATTTTTAGTTCATCTTCACAAAGCTGACTTATGGTGATTAGATTTGCTTTTAGACTTTATACTAAAAGGACTTTTGGCAACCTAGGCAGCCCATGGACATTCAAGATGCAGCTTGCAATAATTTGTCCTTTTCCACCGTCTCCAAAAGTGACATGCCCTTCATTTTTGTATTGGATATTCTCAAGATTTTCTGGATTTCCAGTCATATGTCTTGAACATCCGCTGTCAAAGTACCAAATGTTTTGCTTGTTGCTCGTTCTTGTGGTATATGCAACAGCCTGTGTTTGATATTTTCTTACCCAGACTTTCTTATTCTGATTTTGAACCTGTCCAATCCAGCTCCTGTCGTTATGTCTGTATTGGAGATCATGTTTTCTTTTAAAACAATATGCTTTGATGTGCCCGGGTCTGTGACAGTAGTAACATCTTATTCTTCTTCGATGTTGGAAGTGATGTTGTGACACCTCTGGAACTTCAGGTATGTAACTTTCTTCAGAAGCCGAGTTTGGAGATCTAGGCCTTTCAGTTAGTACCTTGATTTCTTGTAACAATTTGACCTCTCTGTTTTTAGATTCTAATAATTCATTTTGAGTTTCTTTTAGGAGTTTTTCTTCTCTCTCTTTTTCACCTTTTAGAAACTAATTATCTAGCATGAGCTCTAGATTCACTTTGATGATATGTTCCCATTTAGCATGTAGTTGGGTATATGATTCTAGCAGTTCTTGTATATCATTTTTGTTTCCGTTGTTATTATCATGATTTGCGGTGAATGATACGAAGTTAGTGTTGGTGTCTTCTTCACTGTCGGAGTCATCACTTAGTGTTGTCACATATGTTTTGTTCTTCCTTTTAAAGTATGTTGGACATTCTGACTGGATGTGTCCAAACCCTTTGCACTCGTAGCACTGAATTCCTTCAGTTTTTGGATTCTCCCTTCTCGTTTTGATTGGGATGCAATTCCTATGCCAATAGGAGAAGTTTGTACCAATTAGGGCTGGGGGTCTGGTGTTTGACCGTCCTTGTTTGGGAAACTCCATTAGGATCCTGCTAATAACTTAAGCAGTTATGCTCTGATACCAATTGAAATTTGTAAAGCACAGCACACAGTGATGTCGAAACTGAAGTTGTAACACAAACAATTTGTAACGTAGTTCGGGCAAACAACCCTAATCTGCAAGGAACTTCTCAAATTGAGAATTTACTTAAATCCACTAAAAGCTCAATATTTAAAATACATTGTTTAGAACGTAAGATTACACAATAGAATGATCTTTCCTACCAAACTATTAAAACCTAAACACATGTACTACTTTCTAGGGGAATTTAGTATATATCCTATTCTCAAAGACTCTCATACCTCACAAGATTAATGTTGAATGCTTGAATTCTACAATAAATGACAACCCATATTTATAGTAGATACTCCTAACAGATTCGTGAATAACAAAGTTATTCTTAATCGGACTAGAACTAGAAAAATTTCAATAACAATTCCCTTTAGAACTAGTATTCTTCAATAACTACTCCTCTTAGGCTTTGTATTCTTTTATAGAGCTGAAATTTTTTTTGCATATAACTTTGACAAAACATTTTGAGTCAACACTTTATAAATAATAAATACTTAGCTTTATTCTCAATTAGTATTACATTTCTAGTATGTATTGCGGAGTACATTTTTAGTATGAATATTACATATAATTTGGAAAAGGAGAGTTTGGTTTTGTCACGACAAAATGCATATAAAAATTGAGAGTGTCTGCTGCTGAAGGGCTTAAGGCAGTTTGGTTGAGGTTCTCGAGGGGTTTGAAACCAATCTCCTCGCGCCAAATGTACGTAGAAACACCGACACAACGTATCAGCCTACGGAATAGGCATTAGGCAAATAGGCAATAGCACCTCACCTCTCTCTTTCCATCACGCCACCGGAAGGGAACCACACCCCTTCATGTGCCTCTTCATACATTTCCAATATAATGCCACTGCACTGCACCATTTTATAGTATATTATATTATATTATATATTCATTGATTCACATAAATATATAATAACTTAAATATATAATTTGCGCAGCAGAGAAGAAGTTTGATCTTCTGTACGAGTTTAGGTCATTGTTGGGCCGAGGAGATGTTCGAGAGGAAGAACATCTTCTTCTTCTTCTTCTGGGAGCTTATGATTATTTTTGATGATAATATTTTCAAGGTTTCCTGTGATGGAGAGATCGACGGCGACATGGAAGCCTAACGTTGAGATATCTCCGACCTGTCCTCGTTGCGGTTCCATGAACACCAAGTTCTGTTACTACAACAATTACAGCTTGACCCAACCTCGGTACTTCTGCAAAGGTTGTCGGAGGTACTGGACCAAAGGGGGTTCTCTCCGGAATGTTCCCGTCGGCGGCGGCTGCCGGAAAACCAGGAGACCCAAGTCCTCCTCGTCTATTCGCCTAGTTGATGGGCATCGCCGAGGAGGGATGTTTATAGCCCAGGAGGGGATCTCCGCAGCCGCCGACAACAATAATCCCGCCGCCGCCGCCGCCGCCGGCGGGACTAATGGCCCGGCCCCCAACATTGATCTCGCCGCCGTTTATGCAAACTTCATGAATCAAAAGCCTAATCCTAATCCTCAACCTCAACCCGGCGGGCACATCCCGGAAACTACTACACTGGCTAATAATAATGACGGCGGCGGCGCAGGTCCATCGTTTGAATTTTCCGGCTATCCAGCGATGTTGAACGTGGATTATTTCGTCCCCGAGGACGCCATGGCTCTTCAAGACGGCGGCTTCGTCGTCGATGAATTTGGAAACAATAATAATTCCGCAGCAGCGCTGTTTCAGGAACAATTCTGCGGCGAGTCGTTGCCCCCAATACTCCCTCCTCATCAAGAGTTAACAACCTCAGAAGGGTGGCCCAACCACAACTCCGACATGAATATGAATATGAATATGATGTTTCCATTGCACACAATAAGTGCTCATCATGAACCAGAGGTACAAGGTTGTCCTAACCATCACACCAGTTCAAGTGCAAGTCTTTTCAGCATCCCCACCACTTATGATTCCATTTTCAGGCCTTAATTCAAAGGTTTGCTTTGCTCTTTTATATTGTTATATACAGTATACTTTTAAGTCCATGAATTTTTCTATGGTGCCATATCTCGTTGTATCAAGTACTATTGACATGTTTTACTATTAACATTTGTATCGAGAAAAATGAATTTTACTACTATTCTCAAATCTTACTTCTTCAATTTTACTTCATGATGTGACGGCCTTTTTCTTGTGGGTCCTAATACAAGTGTGGATATTAAAATTTTGTGTGTAAGAGTAGAAGTTGGAGTATAAAGTGGGAGTACTCATATATAGTATTTTCCTAAGAAAATACTATGTGTACTCTCATTTTCTACTCCCAACTCTTACTTTCACGTACAAAATCTTGATGTAAACATTTAATTTTTATTGAGACTCACATGAAAAAAGTAAGTTATCAGTGACTACCACATTAAAAAGTAAAATTTAAGGAATAAAATTTCGGAGCCCGTGTAGTAGAGCTCTTTATACTGATACATAGTACTATTAGCAGTCATGTCAATTGGTACCGTAGAAAATTCTATAAATACAATCATGCATGTATATGTGAGTATACCTACATACTAATGTATAGAATGAAAAGCTTCTGTGAAGTTATCATCATCTCTAAACTACTTTCTTATGTATTCATATATAAGCTTATTATTTATAGTACACCCATATTTTTACCTAATAACTCTTTTAGTTTTTAAACATTAATTAAATCACATCATCATAAATAAGATTGTATTGACATAACCTAATAAAAGTTTAAATGTCAAACATAATTATATGACTATATATATATATATATATATATATATATATATATATATATATATATATATATATATATATAGCCCCTCATATTTCGCAATTATAGAGGGGTGAAAAAAGTTCTTTCATTCTTGTATATGTTGCACTGGTGTAGTGATAGTAGCATTCATGCTTGGGTGCAACAAACAAAATTAGTCGGATAGTTTCAAATTAAATCTGACGACTCATTGTAAAAGTTGTCTATTAGTCTTTTTATTTTGAGCAGGTCAACTATGAATAGTCTAGGCAAATTTTTTTTGACGGTTAGGACTATAAAATGAGCTTCATGACCTAATGGGTCAAAGTACCTATGAAGTCCTTGTACTAGTCTTTTGTTCAATTTAGTCCATCTACTTTAAAAAGTGACGAAACTAAGGACGACAATAGTTAACGGTGTTAATATTACCGTTAACTTAGCTTACGTGGCGCTGACATCATTGCTCCCACATCATGATATTTATATTCCAACTCATATATTATTTTATAAATATTTAAAATTAATTATTTTTACCACTAATATATTACATTTATATGTCCAAAATAAATAATTATAAGCATGCTGACATCAAGTGTCCAAATCACATTAGGAACATGGTTGTAATTATTTATTTTGGATATACTACTTTAATATATTGTTGGTAAAAATAATTAACTTTAAATATTTATAAAGTAATATATGAGTTGGAATATAAATATCACGATGTAACAATAATGATGTCAGCACCACGTAACTTAAATTGACGGTAATATTAATACCGTTAATTATTGTCATTAATTGCATCACATTTTAAAATACATGCATTAAATAAACAAAATGGAGATATAAAAATTATAAGACTGGGATTTCGTAGGTAATTTAACCTCACATATTCGTAGTTTAAGGTTGTGACAGTCGACTTTTCAGTAAATCAAAATGATTAGTAAAATTCATCTAGAATTAGAAAGGCAATTAAGGTAGAGAGTTGGGATCTGAGACCAATAAATTTAGTACTTAATTGGTGAGTCGCATGATCCTAGAAAACCTCATAGTCCAAGGAACCAGCATGCATACCCCAACAATCTTCAAAGATTGTGGATTATATTATTTACGTCTCTAGCTCAAAAATATTACTTTAATCAAATATGAAATATATATATATATATATATATATATATATATATATATATATATATATATATATATATATATATAGAAGCGTACTGGTACGGTCATTTTATAAATATAAATAATAAAAATAAATATATGTATGTGTTGTATATAGACCCATCCACGATGTATGTACACATGAGACTAGAACCCAGAATTTATCTCTCGAAGCTTTTGACATTTTATATAAAGTTACAACTTATATTGTTTAACGTATAGTGGTTCTTTTTAATTTAAAAAACTGAGCAATAAGGCACTACTTCAACCAATATGTGTGACGAGTAGTATTATTTACAGTTTACAAGGTGAGCATACAATCAAACTGACCATTGTATCAGCTTTTACAAATTAAATATGCAAAAATACTACTCGACTTCCTAAATTTTACTTACTACTTTTACTCCTTCACTCAAAATTTTGATGTTGACATTTTTTTGAAACTTAAAGAATAAAAATAACTTATTATCTCTTACTGCATTATGGAGTAAACATGAGCGAGTAGAGTTTCGAAGTCTATGTAATAGAACTCTTAAATGTGAAATGTCTACTTAAACTAACAGTTCTTGACTAAGTCAACTGGGGATGATGAAGGAAGTAATTCTGAATAAAATTTTCACAAAATGAGGCTGCATGTGATTAATTGTACTGGTTTTTTTTTTTTTTTTTTTAACCAAATTTCTAGTCTTACCAAACTATATCTTGAGCCTCACTAGCTAACACATTCCAAATTCGCCAAAGACATTGTGGTCAAGCGCGCCTAGCTGTGACTCTTCCAAATAGAAAGTCACAGGTTTAGTACGTAAGTTGAGAAAGTATGTAACTATGTATGCACAGATATTACATTATAAAAGAATAACTATTTCAAATTCATAAATAATTAAACAAGGTAAATCTTGAATTGTTCAAGTAATTTGAGGTTCCCGCCATCTTGGGTCTTCATGAATCCGCGTATATATGCATACATAAATTGAAAATATATTTTCTGTATATGGAAGGTTCCTTTCAGTAGTCTAGTACTTCATTGCTCCTGCAAGCTAACCATTCTTTCTGCCTTCAAATTATTTAATTTGAATTATAATTATTATATTGTATGGAGCAAGTTGATTAGTGTGAACAGCATGACTACTAAAGTTGATTATATTAATTAGAACTTAACTAAAGTATTATAATTAAGGATGGGTATGTTTCATCTTCTCTTCAAACTAAAAGTTTTAGGTAATAACACAAACTCATCACCATTTACATGCACTTATATCAAATTGGTGGATGATATATTTCATCCCAACTAAAAGGTCAAAGAATAGTACGTATCACTAAACATTTAGGGAGTAATGTTTTGTATATTGATTGATGCTTAACAAATTAAATCAACTTTAGCCAACTATATACTTCAGATTGTGACCTTGTTTGGTAATATAGTTAGCTTATTAGCTAATTTTGACTTATTTGATCATTATTAACTGTTTGACTTGGTTAAACATTCCATATAAGTGTTTGATTAATTGACTTTTTGTAACAGCTTATTGTTCCAAAATGCTAAAATTCAAAAAGTTGCTTAAAGATTTTGCATATAATCAGCTATTAACTAACATCTAATTTACCAAACATCTTTCTACAATCAGCTGATGCTATAAACTTATCAAACTCACTAATTCAATCAGCTAACAGCAACTATTTACTAAATACCCTCTTTGTGTTTATAACAAAATTAAAGTATGTTAAGCGGAGGCCTAGAATGCCAAGTTCAACATTGTTTTACCATTAAAATATAAAGTCACAACCTAACTTATGACATAATGGTAAGCATTTGATATGACAATAAGTATTGGAATAGGTTACGGATCGGATTTAAAACTTCAAATCATGTGGTGGAGGTGGGCAATCACTCTATTTGTGTACATGTTAGGTGAAATTATACATCTGGCTTCAAGTTTCAATCAACTTCATCGTATCCAAGCTATGCACTGGATTTTGAGATTATTATTATAGCAAAAATAATGAACAATGGTTGCCAAGAACATTATGGATCAATGACTAGAATGTGCGGTCAACAAGCCCAAATTCTCAATATGTGTCATATTTTTTTTTTTTTTGACAACAATATGTAAAACTTCTTTGGGAGTTGCATTTTTGGTGTATATTTTTTTCGTGTATTTCTGTAAAACGCAAGAGGTAGTTGCGTTTACGTATTCGTATACGTAAAACGCATTACGCTCTTGCGTTTTCCAACGCATACGGTATCCCCCAAAACGCAACTTACTTTTGCGTTTTACGTATTATACGTAAAACGCAAAACTAAGTTGCGTTTTTGACTTTTTTTTGTACCGGCCGTCTCCGGCGAATTTGAAGGACGGCGAGAACCACAAAACGCAAGTCGCATTAATTGTGCAAGGACTTTTTTCGCAATCACCACGCTGAACCAACTGTGCAACACCACATTCTATTAATATTTGTCTTTTTAAGTATACTTAAATAGCCGATGAACAGTACACAAAACGAACTACCGGCGCCGGAACCGCCTATAAAACGCAAGTGGTTTTAGCGTTTTAACGTTTTATTCAAATAACGCAATTCGGTCTTGCGTTTTTGTAACTTTCTCTGGCGAAATACGCCGATAAACACAACGCATTTTGGTCTTGCGTTTTACGTATTTTCAAGTATAATACGTAAAACGCATCTCCCAATTGCGTTTTAACGTATTCAATACGTAAGATGAAAACGCATCTGGGAGATGCGTTTTTCGTATACAATACGAAAAACGCAACTACCAGTTGCGTTTTAAGTATTTAACGAAAAAAAAAAATACGGATTAAATACCTTCAAAAACGCAACTGGTAATAGAGTTTTGCATATTTTTGTCAAAAAAAAAGTGAACACACATTTTGACAAATTCTCACCCTATTCTACACATTCTAGTCATTGATTCGAACATTATAGTTTAGTAGTGTATATAAATTTAAAATTTATTATAAAGAATCTCGAAATCAATTATACTTATAGCTAGATACTGCAAAATTTTTCATTGTTTTCTACACAGTACAGCTGGGGTACTAAAGAGGGTTAATTGGAAGCATTTTACTTGTCTAATTATCCCTTTCCATATACATAACCTATACATCTTTTCGATCTCGATCACTCCAAATGCTAGTGAATCAGTGAGGAGTTTAGCTTATAAGAATGACCTATATTCAAGAGTGTGCACTGAGTAAACTTGTCTGTAACTCTAGTCGATCAGCCTAGATAGGTTATATTGCTCATAGCTAATCGGCTCAAACCAGTTAAGTGAACTCTTTTGGCTTCCCTAATTAACACCAATGGTGTTATGAATCAAATCCAATGGTAAACAAGGAGAATTCTTCCATTCCTTAGCATGCAATTTAAGGATCTCAGCAGCTCTCTCCTTGTTCTTTCCAACCCCACAATCCACTTGTATAACCAAACACAGCTTCGCCCCCACTCCCAGCTGCAACATCTCTTGCACCACACTGGGAGTAGCAGAGAACTTGGCGATGGAGTACAAGATCCTCAGACCTCTCTCATTCGCTACCTGCGACACCCTCAGGATTTTCCTCGACACCACCGCCAGCCCCGCCGCGTGCTTCAGCACCTCCGCCCGCCCCTCCGCGCACCGGCACAGCTGCTCCAGTACGCTCAGACCCCACTCGCAATACCGCTTCTCGTTCGTGTCCAGCAGTAGATCGATCACCACCGTCGCCGCCCCTGCCTCAGCCGCCTTGATCCGGTTCCTCCCTCCCTGGCAAACGTTGGCCAGTAGGTGCAGCGCAGATTTGGAGGCTTTGCGGGAGAAATTGTCTCGCAAGATTTGGACCACTTGGTGGAAAAACGAGAGGTTTAAGGTTGTCGTGAGCTGTGATAACGAGGGGTTTAAGGTTGTGGTTTCGAGCATTGATTTGAGGAGCATCACTGCGTAGGCTCGGGATTCGTAGCTCCCGTGTTGCATTACGCGTGTTAAGGAGTCGATGAACTGGGTGTCGTGTCCCAGGATGGATCTCAGACCGTTTTCGGATAATCCTAGGTTGTGGAGAACATATAGAGCGTCATCGGTGGGATTATCCTCGGATGTTTTGATTATTTGGGCCAGGAATTCTGCCACGCCGGCGCTCTCCATGCAGCGTTTATTCGCCGCGTTTTCTGGGGCCATAGACCTTAGGGTTTGGAGAACTTTGGCCAGCATTTCCGGCGTCGACTTGGCTTGCCGGAGGAGCTTTAGGATGTGAGACTTGGTCACCGGAGGCTTGGGGGTGGGGAAGCGCTCGACGCCGTGGGAGGCGTGGAGGGTGCACCACGACTGGATTACTCGCCGGAGAATGATATTTGGGGTCAAAAACTCATCGTCGGTGCCGGAAAGGGCTTGCTTGGTGACCGGACATGTGGCGTTCTTGCCGGAAAAGATCCATTTCTCGATGTTGTCGCGGTCGTAGGTTATGCCGGTGGAGATCGTCACGGGGTCCTTCATGATCTCTAGAGAGATGGGGCAAAGAAAATAGGGTGGAACTTGAATTTCTTCCATTACTATACAATTAATGGAGAGATCGAGGAATCAATGAAAGTCGATCGATCTTTGAATGAAAAATGAAGAAGGGAGGTGAAGTTGTTGAAGCAGGCTGGAAATGAGTTGAAGAGATTATTGGTTTGGGTTTTATAGGTGGAAACAGATTTTCCCATTCCAAGTCAAAAACACGGAAAGTTGTCGGAGTTGAGGGGAGACTTTTCAAAATGGTATCAATTCTAAAAAAAAAGTTCAAACAGTCAAAAGTAGGTTTTGTTAACTAAGTTGGCTAGCTACACATGAGATGATATCACTCTATTACATAATATATTATATTGGAGAAAGAGTTAAATAGACCATTAAATTATATGAAAAATTATAATTAGATCATTCACGGTTGGATTTTTGAATTGCCGACCATCTGAAAGTGATCTTAAATCAAGTCGAAAGCAAAAAGTGATCAGAAATAACAACAAAGATTTTTCGGATACCAAAAGTGGTCAGAACAAGACTTTCGACTTGATTTAAAATCACTTTCAGGTGATCGAAAATTCCATAATTTTCAGTAGTGATCCAACTTAAATAAACTGTAATTAAATTTCTGAACAATAATTCAAAATCATACCATTAAAGAAAATAACATATTATTTTGGGTCTTATTGATGTGAACAATTACCCATTAAAAGATTAATTTTAAAATTTTATTTTAATATTTTTTAATAAAAATAAAAATCCAACTCCGTCTCCCTCCTAGAGACAAAGACGTTTCTTCATATCTTGCCAGAGATGGAGGTGGGGAAGGGATTGGATTTTTTGTTTTTATTTTATTTTATTTTATTTTATTTAACATTAACTTAAAAAGTTAAAAAAAAAAAGTTTTAATAGGGTAACAACTGTCATGTTAGCATTAGCTACTAGCTAGGAAAACATATCACCTTCAATTTAATTGTATAATTTTAGATTGTTTAGGAACTTAATCACAATTTTTGAATTAAATAACTTAATTATTGCTTCATGACCCTTATTCATATATAATGTCAACTGGCCAATTTTCTCCTAACGTTGTTAATTATATATAACCTTTACTTTTATATATATATATATATATATATATATATATATATATATATATATATATATACACACACACATAACACAAACACATATGTGTGTGTTGTCAGTGTATGTGTAAGATTCATCCATTGGTATTAGAGTCGAGGTCACGGGTTCAAATTGATAGCGTGGTTGTAACCAAGTCTAGTCCCAAACTCCCAAATTAGTTTAACATACATGCAATATTTATTTTCCTTTTTATTTATACCTATATGCATGTATGTAATATACATTTTTTGAATCTATAAATATTGATATGTGAATAATTTTAATCACTAAATTCGGTATACAAAATGTTACAAATGTTGTCATACACTAGCATTTTTCTTAAGTAAAGCATTAAATACTCTATAAAGAAACAAGTAGGTACGCTAACACGTTAAAACTTTGATGCAACACTGATTTTTAAGATTATTTTTTTCATATTGTTTTTTAAAGTGGTCTAATAACAAGTATGGTTGAAATATATATCTTTATTGTTGTGGCTGGCCTGGCATGCTTGCTTTAATTTGGCTGCATTTATGGCGTCATGGCATGTGTTACACACTTTGACACTGCAATTGTATTCCCTTTACTTGCCATTTAATTTTTTTTTTTATTCCCCAAAATATATCTTCAACCCATAAATCCACCTCAAAGTCTATTTCTTTGCAACATTTACACTTTTGTGTACAAGAGACATCCGTCACAGCAGATTAATCAAAATTTCCAAATGCCTCTTCAGATTTCTAAACATTGATTGATCGACCACTTAAAATACTAAACTGGACATTTAATTTGATTGAATCGTACTTGGCTGATATTGTTTAATTTGTAAAGTTTAATTAGTAATTAAGTACAGTTGAAATTTATTTTCGGCCTTTTTACGTTTTGGTTGCATTTATAAATTGTAACTTCACGCCGTATTGCCGTTCATGGCATGTGTTACACACTTTGACGCTTAAATATGTTATTAACTTTAAATAAATTGTTCTAAACAAATAATATTCGTTGACATATAAAAGAAAGATTTACATACAACTCTATGTATATTTAATTACATGCCTAAAAAATTAGTACTCCGGACTAATTCTAAGCCTACAGGACCCCACCCTTAGAGTTTTTGCGAATGTAAATCGCAAGTCGCGCAATCCTGCTTCCAATCCAGACCAATTTTTGCGGATGTAAATCGCAAGCCACACAATTCTGCTTCTCACACACTGCCACATCTCGTCATGACTTTTAAGTCAGGCAACAAACCAAATACGCTAAGCCCCAAGAGTAATACATTATCTTGTTTAATTTTACAATATTGCATGCACTTGATGAGAGAGCAAATAGCGTAAGATTTTTTTCCCTCTCTCTATGTATGTATGTATGTATGTATGTATGTATGTATTATGATTATTATTATTATTATCATCATCATCATCATTATTATCATCCAGACCTATGCTGATGGCACCAAGACCATTGACCAATAAACGTTGAACCGACATTAGAATTGCATGTTTCTTGCACCAAAAAAAAAAAAAAAAAAAAAAAAAAAAAAAAAAAAAAAAAAAAAAGATTCTTATTTGGAGGCGTAATGCCTCTCTGGGCTGCCTTCCCTACTTGCGGGCCCATAAAGGATGATTAATAGCCGCTTTCCCTACATGCAGACTGATGAGCCTCCTTCCTTGCTTGCAGGCTCATTGGGCTTACTCCCCTACGCACAAGCTCGTATGACTTTGTTTTTTCTTTCCCTTTTATCCTCATTTTTTTTAGGCACGATGCCATGCTGGGCGGCTTTCCCTACTTGCGGGCCGATTAGCTGCCTTCCGTACATGCAAGCTCCTTATGTCGTCTTCCTTACATGCAGGCCCATATGAATTTTTTTTCTCTCTCTCTCTCTGTCTCTTTATTTTTCCTTGAGGCACGATGCCTCGCTAAGCCGCCATCCTTGCTTTCGGACCTAGGAAAGAAAATGTAGAAAATTATTTATTTATAATAAGTTTTTACCTCAGATGAGACTAGTCGATTATAGGTTGCTTCCCTTTCCATGCTGGACCTCGGTTATGGTATCCTTCTTCACTCCTTAGAGATTCTGATGTCGGTTCAACGTTTCCTTTTCTCCATACGTTTCAATTTGCCAATTTTTCCCAATAGATGAAGCCATTTAGCTCTCCTAGTTGAACTAGGGGTTCGATCTCCCACTTTAAAGTATGACACTCATCTATGGCATGGCCATGCCGCTTGTGGAATCGATAGTACTTTGACTTATCGACTCCGTGGTGGATGGTCTGGGTAACCGCACCATATTGCATTCCTGAGCATACCTCACTTGGTTGAGCTGTCAATGGCGTCAAAGGTATTGGTGCCGTTAGCATAGGTGTGGATAATCTCGGAGTCATATTCAGGGTTGGCGACCCTGCCCACAAGGCCCTCCGATTCTGCTCCGAGTGTTATTCTGTAGGTTGTTCCGACACCTTTCTATTTGGTTTGAGAGCTTCTTCTATTCGGGGTCTCTTGGAAGAACCATTTTCTTCTTCTCTTTTGATCTAGTTCGCTTCCTCAGCCTCGGCGTAACGGTCTGCCTTGGCCATTAAAGCAACGTAGGTGCTCGGAGCTTGCGCTTAAGGCTTTTGTATAGATCCCCGATCCTTAAAGCCTAGACGAATATGATAATGGGGGACTTGTCGTCCATCTCGTCTACCTCTATTACACCAGTTTGCCTTGGTAAGCGTTTCTTCTTCGAAACATCAACAGATATGGAAAAATGGGGTGAGAAAATCAGTTAAAGTTTCACCTACCTTCTCTTTCATCGTGGTCAGGTAAGTGAAATGTTTTTTATTCTTTCTATCCATCATAAAATGGGTGGAAAATCTCACTACCAGGTCATGGAAAGAGTTGATAGACCCCCATGTTAAGTTTGTGAACCAGCATTGAGCTTATCCCCCTAGGGTTGCAAAGAAAGCCCTACATATTACTGCCTCCGTGGTTCCCATTAGCACCATAGCGGCTTGGTAGGTTAAGATATACTCCTAGGGATTCCATACCCCTTTCGAACTGTTGGATGCTAAGCGGCTTGAATTCAGTGAGGAGGGGTTCGTTCAAAATCCTTGGTGTGAATGGTGGGTTGATCGTGATTTTCGGGATTATTGCTAAATTACCTTGTTCTTTCCACCAAACTAACTCCTCAATTTTAGCATTAATCTTGCCGGCCTATACCTCGGGAAGAGCTACCCGAGTCTTACCGAGCGCATTAACAACTTGCGGTCCCCTCATGATCGGGTTGTGATTAGTACTTTCACCCACGGCTTTTTCGAAGATGGGCTCCAAGTCCTCCCTCGGGGGTCCTTTAATCTTGCCCCAACCACAGCCTCACCTCCCCGTGCTAGGGCCCTATCGCTAGCGATGTACTTCTCCTAGCTTGCAAAGTGTTGAGTCGGGGGGAGGAGGGTTTGCTGGAGTGTTCGGGTCAACGTTTGGCTATCGCGTCGGGTTAGGATGCGCCCCACTGTTGTTGAGTGACCCAGTTTCCAATGACGTTGGTGATCTCATGGGCCAAATTTTGGACATTAGGTTTGATAGCTAATGGACCCTAGTTGGTCACGCCGATAGTAGGGTTATCTTCGACGGGAAAGGTGATAGTCAGACTTCTCGTGTGCTCCGGATGGAGAACCGACCTTCGTGAATCAGACCGAGCTCTGCCTTGCCTACTAAAGCGTTCCTGCGAGTCCAAGGGACGTTCGCTTTGTGACACAGCCATTTTGGTATGTCACGGGTTTAATTGCGTAAAGGGAAATGGTAGAACGGGTAAAAACTAGGAACGTAGGGTTTTCGCAGCATTCCTCACAAACGATAGATCCCCTTGTTAAGTTCGTGAACCAGCGCTGAGCTGATCCCCCTAGGGTTATAAAGAAATCCCAACACATAACGGCCTCCATGGCTCCCATTTGCATCATAGCGGCTTAGTAGCTAAAGATAGCTCCTAAGAATCCCTACCCTGTCAAGTCGTTGGATGCTTGGCAGCTTGAAATCAG